AACCTTAATAATTATTATTGCGATAATTTTTTCATTCTTTCAGCATCAAGGCAATGGCCGCAACAATTCGATTTGCCATCGAACAAGAAAACAAACTGCAAGAAGAGACGATTCTGGAGGACAAGGACTTCATAGTTGACCTTGTAAGATAAACTGCTCGATAACTTTGTTACCCGAATTTCCCGCTCGCTTGATTACCAACATATATACCTTCTGATCGTTTGATACCGTTTGATATCTTTTAGGACACCAAGACCTTCAAGACACCCACCCCTCCCCCTCCACTTGTACAGATAGAGCTCCCTACTAGCGACAGCTTCACTGTGTCCCAGATTCTCAACTTGTGCAATCAGGTGAGCATACCCTTACCATCGGTTCCAGAGGCTTTGTCGCTTCAGTGCTGCCTCAAAAAATACGACAGGGAAGTCAGGATGGCGTGGTGGTAAAGCGCTCGCCTCTCGCCTCTCGTCTCTCGCCTCTCGCCTCTCGTCTCTCGCCTCTGAGTTTCGGGGTTTGAATCCCATTCGCCCCATGTGAACTGAGTTGGTTGATTCTCTTTCTGACGCTGAGGGTTTTTCCGGTCCTCCGGTTTTTCCTCCATCCACTCAATTCAACCCTAACTAATTCAAACAGGTTAGATGTCATAGTCTAGACTTTTTGCTTTATATTCGGACTAACTTTTTTTTTCTTGTCATAGTTCATCGAGGCAGCGCCTTCTGGTGTCATATCCAATCGTGGCTTCTGTGATGTCATCATGGATCTAGCTAACCTAACGGTATAAAACCCTTAGGAATGTCATTAAGTCTAACCGATCGGTCCGAACCGCCTGTTCTCAAATTGTATGCATCAGCTCTTAGAACTGGACCTATGCATCCCCAACCAGGTCTAAAACCTGACGCGTAGAACTGGCTTCTCGGACCGATCGGTTCGGCTTAATGGAAAGCACCCTTCGAAAATCAAAAACACACACCTCAGTCCCGAGTTGTTACTGATTATTGTACTTTTTTCAGTTTGGAACAGAATCTCTTCCTGATATATGGATGAACATTACTCAGCAACAGGTATAATTAAAAATAAACTTATGCCGAAAGAAAGGCAGAAACGATGGAAAGAGAGGGTGAAAAGGAAGGAAGGGGAAAGAGAAAAACATCGTACTTCATATGTCCAGTTTTCCTCGTTCTCTAAACAATAAAATAAAGACAGAAACAAAACAACAACAACAACAACAACAAAATGAAAGAGAAAGAGAGTGTAAAAAGGAGGAAAGGGGAAAGAAAAACAATATTGTACTTCGTGCCCCAGTTTTCATTGCTTGCGTTACACTAAGAGAAAGACAGAAACAAAGAAATGAAAGGGAGGGTTTAAAGGAGGGAAAGAAAGAAGGATTATTATTGACCCCCCGTTTTCCCTCCTTTTGTTTTAGCTTCAAGACATTTGCAGTCTACTCTCCCAAGACTCCGAGTTCATCGACTGGCGTAAATTCCTCTTAGCAGCGGCGCAGCCCTGGACTCCACCTTCTAAAATGGACCTACTCATGACTTTAGAGCGATTTCGAACTGTTGATCAGGGAGGTGTGGGACTGATCGACGAGGCTCAGTACGCAGAGGTTAGTGTATCGAGTTTCCCAGGGCTGGAGCTTTGCCCCAGGCCGGTGCATTTTTGATGTGTTGTTAGGCAAAAAAAGCCTTGATAATTCTTACAGTAGAGTGCACGCACTAAATCCGTGAACATTAATTAGTACTAATTAGTACTATTTCATACAGAATCCTTTGTTTTCTATTGTTTATTTATCACCATTTAGTACTAAAAGTTAGTATTTGTTTCACGGGTTTAGTGCGTGCACTCTACTTCTCTACTCCAAGATGAGATGTATACACCTATTTCGATAAACGTTGTCATCGCCAAAGGCGATAGGCGATAGGCGATAGGCGATAGGTCATTCCGACATGGAAATGGTTTCGTTGAATACAATGAACATTGAATTAATTTGAACACTAAGGTCAATGTTCTTGACGAGAATAAGAAGCAGAAACACAAGTCATTCCAGCTATTCTTGGATCTTGCAATGACCTATCTCCTATGGCTTTTCACCTATTGCCTATCGCCTTTGGCGATGACATCGTTTATTGAAATAGGTGTATACTTAATAAGTTACGAAAGACCTAATATTATGAGGCCAAGATCATGGTTAAACTTTTGATGCAAATTGCAGCTTGAAGATGCTCATATGAGGTGCTCCAGCCATCAATAGTTGTCAAGTGATTGAAACATGTCAAATCTATCTACCCATAATCCTTGTCGATCTGTAGCTTTTCATGTGACTAACTTTATTAGAATAAGTATAAAAGGGCACCTACAAAACATTTAGGGTAGCCTAATTTTTTGAACCAAACATAGTTATATTCCTAGTCATTTTATGCTACAGAAACCCAAAATATTTAATGGTGGTAATAATGAGCCCTTGTTGGCTCACTACTATAGGACAAACTATGGGATGGAGACACTAGATCTATTAATGTTGATGTGTATATTGTTAGGTCGATATGTGGTTCTCAAAACTCATTTCTGATGAGGAACAACCGGAAGTACCTGAGCTTGTCACGGCCTACGACCGACTGGAGAAACTAAAAGAAGTGAGTGTGCAGGCCATGGTTGGTTTAACTAAATTACAACGTCATCAGTATTATCAATACCGTCATCATCATCATCATTATCATCATCAACATGTATCATCATCAACATGTATCATCATCATCATCAGCAACTTCATTATCATTATAATCATCACCACCACAATCACCATCAATTATCATTATCATCATCCTCGTCATCATCATCATCATCATCGTCACCACCACCTCCGTTCTCACGACTCCCATCTTGCTTGCAGATATCATATTTATAAATGACACTAATATATATATATATATCTTGTCTATCCTTTAGGCTTTCTTTTATATATTCGCTAATCATAACCTACAGCCAGCTCCTCTGCTCGATTACGCCAATATGGTAAGAAATTAGTATCATCACTGTTCAAAGGTTATGTTGAATGCTGCTTACTAAACTTGTGACCTTTTGCTGATGGTATTCACATCGCCCATGGTGCAATTCGGGCTTGGTATTCAATGTGCAACATGCAACATACAATCTGCAAGATGCAACTTGCAACATGCAACATACG